AGAATATCAAACGTTTTGTGTCTAACAAAAGGTCACAGTAGGAAGAAATTTGGACTACGCAAGGGAAATGTACACTATTAACACTTCGTTATGACGTTTAACGCTTGTCAATCTTTTTATTCTAACATTTGCGAGCTCTCTCCTTGATGACTTGAAGTGTCTGCCTGTCTGGCAGCGGACAAAGTAACATATGACTATATATGGCTTAATAAATTAGTTCCGGTTCCAGCCGGAACTTTCCAGTTCCGGCCGGAACTTCCGGCCGGAACTTTTTTCCAGTTCCGGTCGGATCCGGTTCCGGCCGGAACTTAAAAAACTGGTTCCGGTGCACCCCTAACAGGAATTACAAATATATGTAGGGAAATCTGACCTGACCAAAACGTCAAAATCCAAATTCCCGGGTGGGGGGGATGTCAAGGGGCGCTTTCCATTTAATGGTCTGACCGGTCAGACCCGAATTCTTTTCTCTGTATCAATGGAAAGATTTGGTCTATGTTTCTCAAATATCTAGCGGAAATGGACCTCATTCTAATGTTATCAAAATTTTCCAGTCAGATAGGTCCGAAGCCCAAATCTTTTGTGTTTCATTCAACAATTTGACTGTTCTGACCGTGTTAAAGTAAAGCGCCCAAGGTTTCAATTTGATTCGCACATTAAGCCTGGTTCACATATATGCCTGCAGCGTACCAGCGCCGATGCCGATGGTAGCTTTAAAACATAAATTATGTTAATATTTGTTCACCGATTGCCTCCAGTGCCACATTTACATCGGCGGTAGGCAGGGAAAGTTGACTTGAGCTCAATTTTGCCGGTATTTCGGCGGCAAGTAGAGGCATAATGATACAGTCACAGGCATACCGCAGGCATATGTGAACCAGGCTTTAGGTCTAAGTGGCTGTTTATATGATCCCACTGGACAGGAGTCACAGGACATACTCATCCCGCCTAGCCTAGCTGGGGTCATATAAACAGGCCCAAAAACAGTGTATTTTGTGTATATTAATTCTATGTACATTGTACACTATTAAAAGTCTAAAAATAGTCATTTTAATATATTATATTCGAAATATTTATATTTATATGTTATACATACTGGAAAAGTGAAGAATGCATGATATCTCATCAAGTTTTGCTTTAAACCTCATTGTTCAGTTACATCATTCGTTTTTGCACAGTGGTTTTTGTAATCGTGTTGTAATCAGATCTGAGTGGTTGTATTAATATAAAATATATATCAAATTTCCACCATTTTGAATAATTTTCCCGCCAGCGGGAAGTGGTAGAGCCCAGACCCCAGACTATTGCGATGACTCACGGTCACAAAACAAAACAAAAAGAAACTAAAATGGCAGAATCTTTTCATAATCATGATGAATTTAAAACCGACATTGTTGGCGGAATAGAATGGCTTGTGGAGAAATTCAGAAAACGAGAAAAAGAGCTTGAAAGGGCTGCAAAAGAAATTGAAATATCCAAAAGAAAATTTGAGGAAAAAATGAATATAGAATGGGATAAATTGGAACGAGAGACACAAGAACAAAGACGTGTCATTCAGGAGGAAAGATCAAGATTAGAAGAAGAAAAGCAATATATGCAAAATATTTATGATATACAGCGTTCACATATCAAATTAGACGTGGGGGGACATATCTACTCCACATCATTGAGCACGTTAACTCGTGATAAATTCTCCATGTTGGCTGTGATGTTCTCAGGAAGACATAAACTTGTACTAAGTAAAGAAAATACATATTTTATTGATAGAGATGGTACGCATTTTAGATATATATTAAATTATCTTCGTGGTGATCTACATTTAGATACATTTCCAGATGATGTGACGGTTTTAAAAGAAATTCAAAGGGAAGCTGATTATTTTCAACTTTCAGGTTTATTTGAAATGATTGAATCAGTTTTAACCCCAACACCTCAGCCTGTTGATTACACTCAAGACTACATTGATTGCCTTTTAAACACTAAAAATATAGAGTCTACTAGTGCAGAGCATAAAAATTTGCGAAAAATGACAAAATCTAATCTCAATTTTGATAAAAGAAATTTATCTGGGCTGTCGTTCATTCATACAGCGTTTGTGCATGATGTTAGTTTCACTGAGGCAAAATTGAAAGAGACATCATTTTATGGTTGTGAATTTGGTAGTAATGTTAAAGTAGATTTCAGTCGTGCAGATTTGACCGGGGCTGATTTCCGTCAGTGTCGAGCTCTTACAGTGGGACCACAGTTAACAAATGGACAGTCACATCAGCCGCCACTATATGGAACAAGTTGCTCAAGCTTTCTTAATCTTATTCAAGAAAAGAAAATATTATTTCAAGGATCAAAGGTGAAAGGAGCAAAGTTTGATCCAGGAGTCTTGGATTGTATTCTTCAAATAATGTGAAAGTATTTTTGGATAACACAAATTGACATGGAACTGTTTAATATTAAAATTTTTATTCATTGTCCATAATGAAAGTCTAAAAATGTATTATTTTGTCAAAGAAAATTATGTAAATAATTTAATATGAACAAGTCATGAGGACGAGGATTACCAGAAATTAGAAATTCTTGTTTTATTATATTTATTTTATTTTATTATGTCATTCGAGTGTGTGCGTTCTGACCAGACTTGTCATCCTAACGTTGACTGGCTATAGTTATTATGACCTGTTTTATTACAATTTTTATACTCTTGTCTATGAATAAGTCTTGCTTTAGTATATTCATGTGCTAATAAAGAATGAATTCCATACTAACCTTGTCAGGGATGCCGGAACCACGGGTGCAGCGGGTGCAAGTGCACCCCTTGCCTTTTGCATTTTCAACTGTGGGTGCCGTGCGGGTGCAGAATATGGGTGCTATTGCTATTTTATTACTTTATTCGCATGACCTATTTACAAGGTATTGCTAAAGTTTTCAATAATATATTACATAAAATGTGTAACGGGTGCACAAAGTGCCCTTTTTTTGCGTGAAAAATTTTCAGTAAAATTGCATTTTTTGCCCAAAGGGCATTTTTGAAAAATTCAATCTATGTTATTTCTAGAAAAATGTTTTAATTTCCGGAAAAAATAACATATTTTTTTCGTATTTAGGAAAAAAATGTGGTATATCCGGAAAATTTTTTCAACCTCTAAAATGGCACACTGACCAAGAATTTTTGAGGGAGGGGGGGGGGGAGGTCGCCAAAAATAATTTTTAGATGCCCTACGCCCCTGCCCTTTCATTTTCATTGATGCCCTTTTGTTAAGGAGTATACCCTCTTGTTAACCAATTGCACCCCTTGCCCTCAGCAACTTCCGGCATCCCTGAACCTTATTTAAATCTTGTTCTAATTCCTAGGTACCCGGTTGGGTGACTCCCTGGTTGGCAATCTCGTACGAGATTGCCTGGCTGGGTGACTAATTTCAATACAATCTCGTACCCAGAGCCATCGTTGAGTGGATGGCTCTAGGTACGAGATTGATTTCAATAGTGATAAAAAACATCATTTCAACACGTATAGTGAATATAAAGTAGTGATGCCACGGTTTACATAGATCAGGACAAAGAACATGATACTGTCAGTTATACTAAAAGTTATGCGTCTCAGTGACTCTGTAAATCCGACCAAAATATATCAGCGTAGCATTTTTTTTTCGTTTCGTGAGCGCTCGTGCGGAACAATGCCCACAATGGACTTTGACACAGAAGAGAAAGCTTTCTTATGGTATTTTACGTTAAATTTCATGTTGATATAATTATGGGAAACAGGTTCAACGTAATCATAAACTACCCTGCAGTTCCGACTCTAATATGTTGCTCATTATGATCATAAAGAAAACTAGTGAGGAGGGAGCATCTTTTCTAGAAAAATCTCCAAACACCCAACGTCCAATCCAACATTGAACTTCATTTAGTTGAACTAGATATAATCCAAGTGAGCATGTATATACACAATTTAAGACCTAATCAGGAACGGTTGCGAAAAATGCAACACTAGGCAGGAATTGAAAAATGCAACACCTCTGGCAGGAATTGAACCCGCGGCCCTTGGGATACGTGAACTCGGGAGAAACGTTATCAGTGTCAAGAATAGTGTGCTGCCGAGCGCACTTTTATACACCGACACCACGTATTGCGAATTTACTTTGGAGCTTTGAATTTAATTTGAGTGACAAATTTTTGAACATTGTTTATACTTTGGCATAGTCATAGCCTTTATTAGGGAGTTTGAAAGACAACGAAGTAGGAAGAAGACGCAGTTGGCAGGTTTTGAACGTCTCAAACTCCATATTATGTCGTTCGAGTATGTGTGTTCTCACCAGACTTGTCATCCTAACGTTGATTGGCTATAGTTGGATTATATATTAATTAAATATTTAAATCTAATTGGTTGGCTTAGATACGGTACTTTGATTTAACGATTGGCTGAATAAAAAGTCAATTAAGATGACACGATTTAAGCTCAGTGCGAAAAAAGCGATTAAATCACACTACTAAAAATCAATAAGTTTGCAAGTATCAGTATCACCATTGATTTGGCACTCTCTTGCAATAATAAATTGAATAATTCCTAATCGTACCGTCATGTTGTTAGGCAACGTCAGCTTGATCACACAATGCAACGCCACGCTGCATGCAAACTTCGAATTGATATAATATTTTGAAGATTGTGGAGACTAGTTGTCATAAACTATGACGAAAGAGTTTAAAATGAAATGCTTTACGAGCGGGAAATTTCATTGTCGATTAACTCTTCTGTGTATTTTCTTGCTTGAAATACTAGTTAGTCTAGTGTTCTTTAAGTGGCAGATATATCATTTTCGAAGGGCAGATACGGAGAAAGATATAATAAACGCAAGCAAGACAAATGTTTTGAAACACTCGGAGAAACTCGAAAGACCGAAATTAGTGTTGTTTTACACGCCATTGTTTGGTCGATCACCGTGGCCAACGATTGAAAATGATTATCAATTCAACAATTGGAACAACATACCGTGTAAAGTAAGAAATTGCAGGATTTCGTACGATAAGAAAGACTTGAATACAAGCGATGCAGTTCTATTTCATGGTCAAGATATAGACAATCTTGATCTTTCCAAACTAAGCAAGACAGTCAAACATCGTGCCAAACAACGTTGGATATTCTTTATACACGAAAATCCAGATTTTTTTACCAAAGATTTGAGTTCGTTGAAAGACATCTTTAACTGGACAATGACTTACAAATTGGATTCGGATATTTTTGTGCCATATGCGTATTACTTTCCAAAAACCAGCGAACACTTGGAAAATGAGGTCATTAATGGTTCCCAATATTACAGTGAGGGGAAGGACAGACTTGTTGCCTGGATGGTGAGCCACTGTGGACGTAAGAGAGATGAACTTGTAAAGAAATTGATGGAATATATTCCTGTTCATGTATATGGAAGATGTGCGCCTAAATTTTCTCAAAATAGGACATGCAACAGACGAGACAAAAATTGTCTTAAAACTCTACGAAGATATAAATTTTATTTAGCTTTGGAGAACGGGAACTGTGTCGATTATATCACTGAGAAATATTGGATTACATCGCTTCAAAATGACATTGTGCCAGTTGTGTTGGGCGGCGGAAATTATAGCAACAGAAACTTGGCTGTTCCTGGATCATTTATAAATATGATGGACTTCAAGTCAGTCAAAGACTTAGCGGATTACTTATTAATGTTAGACAGGAATAACACAGCTTATGATGAGTATTTCTCCTGGAAAGAACGCTACTATGTGGATGTACCACCTTCTTGGACATGTCAAATGTGTGCAATGTTAAACAATGACTCTCTTCCAATAAAGTCGTATGATCATCAACATTTTCAGAAGTTTTGGGGTCGTGAAAATAACTGTAGATTCTTAAATGACAAAGTGGATAAAATCATATCAGTCTAACACTAGACTGCGAGCAATTTTCAATTTTCCCGCGCGTTCAGTCTTAGTCCGGGAAACAATAAAACGAAGGAAAATAGAGGGATTGCTCGCAGTCTAGTCTAACACTAGTAACAGAACTGCAGTGTGATTTACCGACTGGAATATTGGGGTAAATATCAAGACTTTGAGCATCTCGTTCGAAATAACTGAATGTAGATGCAATTTTTGTACGATTTCCGCAGCCGCTCCTGGTTCGGAGCGGCTGCGGAAATTTTGTAGGCCCTCCGGTATAGCTTATATAGTGTTAGCCTCCCGTTTTCCTTATCTATCCAAGCCGTTTCAGCTAATAAGAACAAGCATTGGTGTAAATTCTCTTTATCCATACGTTTAGTTGAAAGACCGAGACATTTATTAACAAATTTAGTACTTAGGAACTCATTTGATTTCTCTACTGAAGGTACACAAGTTACTATATAGTATACATAATAGATTTCAGTTAGTCTGTTACTGTATAAGGTACTATAAGCATGGAATACAATAAGTATATTTGGAAAATAAAGAGAATAAATGAAAAAAAACCTGGATATAAAGCACATTATAGAATTTAATTCGATTATTGTCATTTTAATTTAACGTTGATTAGATCAGGAGTATTTGTTTTTCAATGTGAAGAGAGGGTAAAAATCATAAGAGAGCTTAGTCTATGAAATATGAAATATGAAATATGAAAGTATTTACTTAGATTATCAAAAATTGTTTACAAATGTGTAAATATAAAATGGCATTGTTCACTGATTATGATACAACTTGAGGAATGATAACAAGTCTAATACTCCCTTTAGTCTTCTTCAATATGGCCACCGCAGCTTCGTGTGTTACTCCTTCCAAACTTTGGTTATTCACTGCAATTATCTGATCTCCACGCTTTAGACGACCATCACTGGCCGCTGCGCCTTGTGGGAAGACAGTTTTGACATATATTGGCAGATCGCCATGTGGGCTACCATGACCGCCTACAATACTAAAGCCCAGTCCCTCAGGGCCTCGTTCTAAGTCGATGATCTCCGTTTGTGGTCGTCTAAATAAAAATATATTTTGTGTCAAACGTGTACAAAGCCATAGGAAAAACAAACATGAACTGAGTTTGTCTTATTTGAAAGAACATTAAATGATATATTGATATATAAACTTCTTTTACAATTATTCCGTATCTTGCTTGGTTTTCGAAATAAATCGACTTATTTTGATCAAGAGCGGCGTACATTCCGCCATCTTGGATATGCATTCGATATGCATACGTCACAAGTAGGGAAAAAAGCGAAATTTTTATCTTGCGAACCACATGTCATTATCAATACGAAACTCGATTTTCCGAAGTCTTTTTAGTACTCAATTAACTCACAACATTTTAAGAAACTTTTCGAAGAAATTTAGTCCCACATGAAGAAGTTTTAACAAGTTTACCCTGCTTGTGACGTCATCAAAAACTCGGTTAATTAGGTCGATTAGGTCAAGATGGCAGACTGCACACTGTTTTTGGTCAAAATATTTCAAAAACCAAGCAAGGTACGAAAAAGTTGTGAACGGACTTCATATATAACTTTAAAAGTTCTTTCAAATAAGACAAAGTTAATTTTTACTGTCATATCCCTTTAATACACCATCTACTGATTACAGATTTACAAGTACTGAATATCTTTGCAAGTACGACATAATTCGTTTGCAAAAATAGCAACGGAGTACATAAACAACAATGAATTCTAATCGTCTAGTAACAGTACCAGCAGAGGTATTTAGCACTTTGCAAATCTCTTGTAAGTACATGACGCCACAAGGCAGTTCATTTTCATAACAAGAAACGGGAAAATGAAGTTGGTTCATTTCGAAATGATGTTTCATTCACACCAGCGTTAATTAAATGAAATTTAAGTCGAAACCAAAAACGAATATCGTAATTTCTTACCTGGTTTCTTGACTTCGACCACCATTGGGATTCTCAACTGTAGAAAGTCATAAGAGAGATATTAGCATGAACAAGAAAATCTTTATACAAGTGTGCTTTAAAACAACAACTGCCAAGCTCGAAGAACGATAATTCACGATAATATATTAAGACATTTAAATCGCACGATTATGCCAGTTGCCGCCCAATTCACATTTTTGGATAACTCACATGCTAGTTACCACTATCATGATAAAATGTAAACATAGAATTACACAAAGATAACGCATAAATTAGGCCCTTTGTACCTCCTACTGATCTGCTCCAATTAGAGAGGCAAAATTGTCTAATTATCACCTATTTACTGAGACCGAGGGAACTGACAGCGCGTTTTGTGGCCCCGAGACCGCCGTTTTATTATATAGCTATTCCGAATCTGTAGTAAAACCGACCGGCGGACATGCTGAAACTCTTGAAAGAACTTTGAACTTACCGGTTGGCGTGAACAACTCGCGCCTCACTTCCGGTTTATTATTAACCGGTTAATAATTGTTTCATTGTTGTCCGGTTGTCCCCTCACCAAAACATGCACTGAACATGACGTTCTGTAGACCGTCACGTGATACGGTTTTGTCCAATTGGCAAACAGGAAAATTGAGCTTGGACACTTATATAATAAGATCACATACCGTATGAAGGTGGTGGTCCAAGGACAGGTTGATATCTTTCAGGATCAAAAGGAGTAGATGGTGATGCAGGGAGGTTCACATTACGTGTTGTGGGAAAACTGTATAAACTTGAACTTTCTATCGAAGCACGTGGCGATGAGGTGCGAGAATTTGGTTTTAAACGTGCAACACTGATTTTCACATGACCAATCGTTCGCTGTAAAAACATTTACATATTACGATACATTGCATGTCCTCTGGCTCTATTTTACTTCACAAATACAGGGTTCCCAATAGAAGCCAGTCCAAACAATCACTGGCTATTTCTCAAAATTACAATCCAAACTATTTCCTCCTTACAACAGAAATGCCAAGGGAAAGGTTTCTTGCTTTTATAACATACATTTTAAAAGATATTCTTCATTAAATATTTCGATAACAAGACAGAATCCAACCTCGTTCCCAGGGCTTTTCGGAAAAGCCCTGGGAACGAGGTTGGACAGAATCGCCAAAGCTACTCTCTACAATAGCTGAAAATGCTATTTCAGAGGGTCTAAATTTCAAAATTTTCACGGGAGTTGGGGCCTATATAGGATCCTTTCTCCCTAGGAGAGTAGCACCTTATAGGCATTTATTTCTTTCAAGAAGCGTCCTACTCTAAATTCTATTGAGAGCCCTGCATATATGATTAGACACAAATTATAAGACCGCGGATCATAAGGGACGGACCATTAGATATTTGAGGGGGGGGGGGCGGGCAAATACCAAAAAAAAAATCGCGCACAGAACAAATCCAGAAAAAAAAAGTGCACAACAAACCTACTGAAAAAAAAAATCGAGCAAGAAGTAGGGGTGATTTTTGTAATCGTAATGCAATTATTCTAAAACACTAAAATGGTGTTTTATGACAAGCGAAAAAACATTTATGCCTCCCCCCGTCGACGAACTTTTCGACGAACTTTACGGGAAAAATTTTTTAGGTCATCTTAAAAAAAATATCGTGCAAAGGAATGTTGCAGAAAAAAAATTCTTGCAAGCAATTGGGGGATGAAAAAAAATTCGTGCACAGAAAAATTGCCCAATCCCCTCAAATATGTAGTGGTCCGTCCCTAAGAGCGCCGACATTACCTTCAAAATCTGAGCAGCATATTCCTGTGTTGCATTTCGTGTATCGTCATTGTTCACACTGAGTATTTGATCACCAGGCAAAAGACGTCCGTCACGATAAGCTATCCCACCACTTACCTAAACACACAAATACCAACATAAACATACATACAGCGCACTGGAGGAAAGTGAAGATATATATAGGGCCGCAACAGAAATACAGCTATATTTAAGATCATCCCAGACAAAACTCCCTCCCCCCTCAATATTTGACATCTTCTTAGATTAGAGTTTCTACAAAGTTGGCGGAAACAGGCCTTTTTGCGTCAGTTGTACCTGTAAGTTTAATTAGGGAAATTAAAATAATGGATAATTAGAGAAAACGTACCACATCAGATATAAACACACCGGTGTCGTACCTGCAAAATGATAATGCAAAGTCAAGTTAACATAATATTGTTACAACTTTGCACCTCATACGTATCTTAACCAACGGCAACTTTCTCACCTTCTTCCAACGATGCTCAGTCCTAGACCTTGCCCAGGAAACTTTTGTAAATCCACGTCAAAGTAATCGAAAGCATCTACAAAATAACAAACAATAAACCATCATTGTACTTTTACCATTAGGCAGGGCTGCAAAATATAGCGGACCACGGGACCATTGGTCCATAAAATTCTTGAGGCTGGCAGGAAAAAATGGAAGGTAAAACCGTAAAAGGTAAAAAGTCTTAAAAGAAAGTGTATTTTACTAATTTTAGTGACAGTCATACTTTACTTAGTTTACTATAGATCATTTAGATAAAAGTATACGTATCCGGTAGTCACGGAATAAGGTCTATTTTCAAGACCGAAATGATTTCTAGAGTTTGTCTAGAATACACTGAATCATATTTAGTTGCGATAAAACCAAGATTTACTGTCGTTTATTTGAAGAAAATGTTTGCGTATGCAGAAAATAAAATATTTCTTGCAACAAAAAAGTCAGGAATGGTCTGGTGAAAGGATCCCGATATTGAATCATCGTATAATCTATATAAATAATCCCTTTCTAGGTTATATGGTTCATATATAATCATCACGTAAATTATAAGTGAAATAAATGAAACCTCTAAAGGCCCGTTTACACCGGCGATTTTTGCTGCGATTTTAGGCCGATTTTCTGCTTCTGATGGATGTGAAGGAGTGGATGAGTTATAAATGTTCCAGGTTATGAAATTTCATAACAACGTCATTAAGTAATCTACTCCTTCACATCCTCCAAAAGGAGAAAATCGCAACTAAAATCGCAGCAAAAATCGCCCGTGTAAACGGGCCTTAACATGCGGGCTGTGGGAACGTGGTTAATGTATATGTTAATTCAGTGAGGAGGGTATTCACTTGGAAATGTAAAACCCGATGCTGGACGTTTTTAAACAAGATCGTAAAATCGGGTAACTCCTGGTTAAAGTAATCATACATACCATACAATGATTCCTTACCTTCATCCCTGAACTGTGCCTCAGATCTGATAACAAGCATTCTTACAACTGATGAAGTACTTCGCAATACCTCCATAGCTTGATCATGAGTTGCTGTACGAAGATCCGCGTTGTTCACCTGAGCAATGTTAGAAAACGTGTTTTCATGACAAAACCTAACACCACATTTTCAACGTAAAGCTCACTCAAGTCAGATTTGAACATCATTTGAACTCGGATATTAGTGGAGTTGGCTTATGTTTTACCAGCAGTAAAAACGGAGGGGACCTATCTCCGCCCAAGGCATTTTGTCATAAGTAAATATACAGCAATTAGCCTTTCCCAAAAGAGATCACAGTGCATTCTGGGATCGTTTGGAGGGCCAAAATATATGGCGACAGGCGTCAAAGATGTGAAAGAGTAGTCATACCTCTAAAATTTGATCTCCCGCCACGAGACGTCCATCTCGTGCGGCTGCACCATCTTCGTATACTTCGTGAATCAAGATTGAAGCCTAAATATGGCCAAGCACAAAATACAATTATTCAAACGTCAAGAAAGCTTTAAATTAGTTTATTCTGAACTTTGACCATGTTATATATAAGATGCTGCATATACCACATCTTTTGTTGGGTAATAATGATCCGGGATGAATGTGGGTTCTTCTCCGCTAGTATTTCAATAAAGTTGCCTGTCTGTGTCAGGGAGTTCCGATATTGAATTACAGTATAATTTATATCAACAATCCCTATAGCTTATATGGTTTATGTATAATCACTACGTGAATCATAATCGAAACAAACGAACACTAGGAGTTAGTTGAGACCATAAGTTACTTTTTCTCTAATCCAGACACAGTGGCCCTTATTGAGATGGTTGCACACGTGCAGAGATTAGTGCGTTCTCCACTTTCTCATCAAGTCAGAAATCTTTGTACAAGAGTTTGTACTTGGGCACACATAATTATCTCCCATACAAGTATATCATGCATGTACTATACGTTGAAATGAACTAATATGCATACACTTCGTTAGTTAGGTACGATCATTATCATGTGCAAGTATCAACTTACTAGTACTGTGTCACTCCCTCCAACAATACTCAGTCCCAGTCCAACATCGCCTTTATGAATCTCTAATTCACATTCCTGTCCAGTGATTATCGGCGCCGTCTGCGGGTTTCCTGAGGAGATTATAGAGATTGGGCCATCTGAAAGCATACGAAAATGAAAAAGCAATTATTGAAGTATACCCGCGATCCTTATTGGGGACATATACAGCAATATTATACCTCAAATTCAAAGTGTCCAATCAAAAAGCTAAGTTTGTGCCAATCATTGGATCACGCCTTACGTCATTGTATTTGATTCGCGTAAACCACGCGCGGCGATCACACAAACAAGATGGCCACCAAAATACTCAAAATATACTAAGGAGTGATGAATTATTAAGTTTTTAAACTTCAAGAAAGCTCGTTTTTTGAAATTTTGAAGCAAATTTTGAAAAATGTTATCATCAATATTCTAAACGATATGTGATTCGAAACAAAAGCGACGATACTTGCGTTATAAAGCAACAAGAAACAACCCGTTAAAGTCGACACAATAGCATCTGAATTTGGCTTGTCAAGCAGTTTTCGCTTGTTTTCCCGCGTTTTTTCCCCGTATCCTAGGATACGAGGCCTTGTCACGATTTATGAATAAGGTCTATAACTGGGTTACCCACATGGCAGTAATGCTGCCTTTGACAGCAAAAGACAAACTACATGGTGTTGAACGAGTCCTTCAGAAACATCCTATTATTGTTTAGCCTGCATGGCAGGCGGTTCCTAAAATTGGGCAAGCTGGAAAATACCGCCTGCCATGCAGGCTAATTATTGTTATCCTTGTTAACCCATTTATTGACAGTACCCTACCACTGACTGAGTATTAAAAATCGTCTGGCGTTGGACAGGGTAAATACTAAAGTAGGGGTCATTACTGTGCTGATGAATTAACAAGAGCCAATGGCAGATAGGTTTGTTAACCCATTTACTGGCAGTACCCTATACCACTGACGAGTAAAATCTTCTGGCGCTCGACAAGGGAAGGGCGCATTGCCAGCTAATGGGTTAAACCACCGTGGTTAAACATAAGATGTCATGATGCTCCAGGAAATGTAAACAAGCTATCAGTGTGACATCCCAGTTTATATATTTATATACTCGGAATATTGATTTCTCGGTACATACAAAATTATTTTAAAGTATAACAACCAGCGAAGACGTAAGGCACTAACTATCAATATTTTCAAAAGCGGCCAATTAGACCAGGGGTTAAAGGGCAATGACAATGACATGCAGGTGACATTTAACATTGCGTCTCACTAATTAAAGAAAGCAAAAATATATACAAGACAATCTCACATGTGGAGTTTTTTCACTTACAGTACGTATTGCCTTGTGATGCAGTACAAGTATAAATACAAATGACAAAGCATTTGTAAGGACTACAATGAAATGAACATATTGCATTATGTTTTACTTTGTCCTTAGTATCCACATTCATATGAAATTCCGAATTCTATTTACCGAAAAGGCGAAATTGGGATACAGACCTTCAGTACTGCAACCGCGTGAGCTCGTGATATATATTATGTAATTCCACGACGTAAACGGTAATTCGTGTTTTTATCTTAAAAGTATTTACCACTCAAAAGAATGGTCAAAAAAATAATGAATAATGAATAATGAAAAAAAGCCGCATGCTTTTTCAAAATTACCCGGACGCAAATCTATGACTTTCATTCCCATGGCCTAATAAAAAAAGTAAAACATCGTATCCACGAAGGTATGTGGCAAGTTTTATATTCTCAACTTGGAGGCGTTTAATTTTCAGTATAATATATCATTTATGGAACGAGGGCGATTCGGCGAAATATTACCCGTAGTGATGATATTTCCCGAGGGGCTTTCCCTCGATCCAGGTCTATAAATGATAAATGTCTTTAGTTGTGATAAATGTGTCGTTAATACAATAATTGAAGCATCTTTGGCTCGACCGATCTAGTGCTACACGCTAGGCGAACTTGTACACAACATTCCTATATTTCAAAATCAAATATATTTTGGTTTAGGTTGTATGATATTTTAAAGTTTGGGGCGCCTTATATTTTATAAATTACAAATAAGCAAGAGGTAGTAGTATGTCACGAGATTTACCTAAATTTTCCATGGAAGAATGTCTGCTGGAATCCCGTGTTCCCATTGGAAGACGTGCGCTTACGTCATCAGGTTTGCTTTGTACAGGACTTTCAGTTTGAACATTCACTTGAGGTTTGACTGTGGTTAGTTCTATCTGACCTGTACACACTTTGAGTATACGAGCAACCTGCAATAAAGAAAATTAAAAAATATCAGTTTGCTACCGATGCAGTTAATCAGCTTTCATTCAAAGGCTTTTAAAATTATTTGGCGGATGGTTACATATCCCCTTAATGACCGCCATGGACACAGGTTAGAACGCAACAGAATAAAGCTGATATTCATTCATCGGTTAGAGACTCAGAAACAGACAATTATTCATAATTATGTGGATTAATACTGTACCTCAAGGTGGGTGCATCCTACAATTGATTCTCCATTGATGGCCAACAGTTCATCACCAGCTTTCAACTTCCCATCCTAGAAAGAAACACTTGATCCATTAATACACTCTCAGTTTGAACAATGGTCATCACCATGTACCTTGTCTTAGGAAAGCAGTAGAGCAAGTAGACTCCAATATTGATATCTACTGCTAGTAGGGCCGATCCATTGCCAGTTTTTCAATACGATTCGTGGGACGAGCAATTTGTGTCTTGGGTTGCAAGCACAATTTAGTGATCTGTTTTAGTCACGTGAACAAAGTTGAACAATCATCGACTAACTGAACTGGAACATAACCATGTGTCATCCGACAAAGTTCTCCCTCCCCTTGCCTTCTCTCACCAATCAATGTTCAATGTCTAACTAAGATTAGAAACGTTTATCACTATTCTGACTTTAACCGAAGCAGCACACTGCTCAGCTCCTCCCTCACTCCCCACCATTCAATATTGTGCTTTGCAGAAGTAACGCGGTTGAGTAAAGAGTGTTGAGCAAGATTGCAGTACTTCATCTTTCATGGCGTGCCTACGAGCACCAAAACAGACGCATGAATATCACCTAGGCCCCGTTTACACTATACCGGATTACTTTTCATACCGGATTAATTTTCACTCCGAAGTAAAAAAACAAGGGTGTTTACACTATGCATGCCGCTTCGCTCTGTTGCCAGCTCATGTCTCGCTGTCCCCATGGAAACAAGTAATATTTTTTGCCAGTGTACTAAAATTTATTAAAAACAAGAAGTAATACACGTTTTCTTTGTAAAGTATAACTTTGTTTAAAAAGCTTGACTACCAGACGTTGCTTCATTTCGCTCTAATCCAAAATTGACGAGTATTTCTTTAAATTTTGCCCTATCGAAAGTGAAAAATCAATGTTATTATCGTTTTCTTTATTTGTCTTCGCAAGAAATAGTAAATTGTTGTAAGACGAAAAAACAACAGCTCTAAAGTATTGTAAAAGCGAGCAAATAAAAGGCGACAATGGTAAAGCGTACACGCCAAAACCGATTTTGTACCGAAGCGTACCGGATTGGCCTGCTTACACTGCTTCGGCATGCACATACCGGATTACTTTATCATATCATCTCCAAAGCGGAGTGATTTTTACACCGCGTCGCGTACCGGATTTAAGGCCCACGCAGACCGGACGCGATTCGGCAACGCGACTTTTCAGTTTTCAAAAACAAATAAAACCGTCAACGGATAAAAATTTTACAAGATATGCAGAGCAAATAGCTAAAATTGCTTAAGTGGTTCCGAATATTTGAAAAACATTGAAAAAATATTAAAGTTAAATGTAAATTGAAAACTGAAAATTCGCGTCGCGTTGCCGAATCACGTCAAATTCCTAGGAATATCGCCTCCCCCGGGGGTGGGGGTGGGGGGGGGGTGGCGAAAATCCTAGGAATTTCGCCCCCTTTAGGAAATTCGCTCCTTTGGAAACTTCACCTTTTCTTCAGGATTTTCGTCCTCCGTTCAAAATTTCGCCCTTCCTAACAGTTGCATGGGATAATTATTACATGGCTTTAATCATTTCAAATCAGTATCAATTCAAAATTGTTAACACAGAGCTTGAAATAACAACCGATCACCAATCAATGATCGGCATGGAGTTGCTTATGATCGGCGGAAAAGCAGATCACCATGATCGGAAACTTTGGGAACGTTATTTCAAGCCCTGTAAGAATACAAATTTACAATTACATGTATCGACCTTCAGGGGCGGATCCAGCTCCTGAGCTGACTGATGCATACATACATAAGACCTCGCATTTGTAGGGGGGTCCGGTGGTATCCTCCCCCGGGAAATTTTGAAATCTAGGACCTCGGAAATGCGATTTCCTGCGTTCCGGAGCGAACTCTTTTGTTGCAATTCCTATATCAGAGTCACAAAAATTTTGCTGCATTTTTGGACAAACACGTAAAAAACTTGAACCTATATCGCAAAAAAAACATAACTTCTCCACATAAGAAAAAAAATTTTGCTTGTACAAGTGTAATAGTAGCAGTGGCAATAAGTCTCTATTAAAAAAATAGTCAGTACTGTGCTTCTTGTAGCCTTAACTTTTCTATTGAAAAACATTTCGGCACAAAATCACGACAACGCAAATACACACATACTGTGTAACAAAGGTGTATACAGTGTGCTCCACTAGTTGCATTGCTGGACTCAGAAGAAAGCGTTATTATGTTGTTTATGAACCATCTTCCCCTATTAATTTCCAATGTTCCATGAGTAAAATCTTCTAGCATTAGAATTTAAAGTAAAATAACATATCATGGTGCATACAGATTAAAGGTATTTTGTGCTTTACTGGGTAAATATATGCAACTCTGTCTTATGCTGCTAATCTTACTCTGCATGGACAGTGTGGTTGGCATCAGCTGGTCAATTTCATTTGCCCCTAGGCTAGCTGCCTTTCAGATGAACTGCATGGTGAATAGCCCACACTCTGAATACTGAGCCAATATTGCCTTTTGGCGAGGAAACCACTAAACTAACACACAACAAACACTGGGTTTAAAATTATATAAATAAATAACTATAGGTACACACACGTTTTAAATCAATAGAGACTGTGTGTAAATTAATTTAATGAAGCTATCTTAATTGGAAATTGTTTGATAAATAAACCAATACCAAACTGTACAATGATAAACATGACATAATTTAATCATATGTCTTCTGTCTGTCCCCTTTTGCCTGCCTTTCAACTAATATTAATACAGTACTCCTTTAAGAAAGGTTGCACAGTAGTATTGATGAATATTTAATTTTCCCTATATTATCTTGTCAAATATATCCATACACTTATCAATGGTAATCGTAATCCTCAGGGTGGCATGCTGGCTATCCAAAACATAATACTGGGATAATTAGCATTACAAATATATAATTTAATTAAATATATTTTCCAAACTATCCCACTTTTGTGAGCAAATTTCATAATTATAACCTGTATACACCAGTTACAGTATATACAGTATTTATACCGTCCAGCATTTTATCATTGATTCTAAGATTAAATCTGTCAGGAGAATGTCATATGATATATACAGCTTATATCAAATTATATTTGCACAGACAAAGCATATAAACACTCAACTATGGTAGGCGAGCAAACCCAGGTAATCATCTTTGTTTGCAAAATATCCAGCTAGTGTATAGTAATTGCCCAATAACTCAGGCAATGCAAAGAAAGACCCCGTCACAAGGCATGCCAGCTCATTTCCATATAAAATGAAATGAAATAGGAGATACCACTGGAAGTTGCAACTTGAAACAATTACCTTTCATGTAAACTCCCCCTTAGTCTTCTAACCAATGTTGCATTAATTACTATTAGAAATCTCATTAACCTGCAATTATGCTCTGTAATTACATACAGAGACTGATGCAAGTCTTGGTCCATTCAGAGTTACTTTCCACCCACACTATAGTTTTATTTTTGGTATCCAATCAAACTGTGCCAGAAGAAATGTCAATTTCACATAATAACAACAAGCTAAATATAGTTACAACCACTAAATATATCATTATTTAATTATAGCATTTTTACCAATTATCAAAACAATACATTAAATATGGCATGAATACTCATGCTAGAAATAGCCAATCGGAGTCACAACAATAAAGGCAGTTGTAGGACACAAACATAATAACATGTGTATCAGGTCTTCATTTTTCTTTGCCCGCCAGCTGTGAGAAAAATGAAGTCTGGGCACAGGATATAATCCCATGTAAACAGAGATGAAATTTGCCTCAGTAAAGCAAGCTGTCAAGTTTGTTTTGGGGCTAGTTTGGCTCCAGACAAGCAAACCTCTGTAAAATTTCAAACTCTACACCCCCCCACCCCCCCCCACCCCCAACCACTAACATCTTTCTGGTCTTTCTGGAATATAGAGCAACAACAGTAATAGACACAAACTGTAATTATTTTGTTATTACATACAAATCTATATTAATTGTGCAGGACCCCATTTTCCACTTTACACACTTCTTGAACTGAACAATTTAGTAATTTACTACCATTTGTAAAAATATAGAGAAATTTAACTTACTTAATTCGAAGTGACTATATGACCGGCAGCCGGTCACGGTTTATAAAATACTAAATGGCCGGCAGTCTAGTGACTATTGTTAAAGTTTAATTTTTATAAGATAAACCTATCCCAACCCCAAACCCTTTTCTAACCCTAACCCCTAACCCCTAACCCCTAACCCTTTGAGAGTTAGAAAAGTCGGGAAAAAAGTTTAAAAAATTTTAAGAAAAAACAATGCTAAGTCAGACAAAACAACATCGCGACCCCGACTGCGCTTAACTTTCCGCACGCAGCGCCCTTGCCGTATGAGCTAAGGGAC